AGTAAATAATAAATATCATGGTGTTTCTGGATTCTGTGATGTTTGTAGTATTTGTCATATTTTTAAATTATAATATGTTGAGTTTTTTTCTAACTCTAAATAAATGTTTCCTCTCTCTCTCTGTGTGTGTGTGTGTGTGTGTGTGTGTGTGTGTGTGTGTGTGTGTGTGTGTCTGAGACAGAGTCTTGCTCTGTCACCCAGGCTGCAGTGCGGTGATGCAATGTCAGCTCACTGCAACCTCTGCCGCCTGGGTTCAAGCGATTCTCTTGCCTCAGCCTCCTGAGTAGCTGGGACTACAGGCGCCCACCACCATGGCTGGCTAATGTTTGTATTTTTTAGTACAGACAGGGTTTCATCATATTGGCCAGGCTGTTCTCAAACTCCTGCCCTGTGATCCACCCCCCTCAGCCTCCCAAAGTGTTGGGATTACAGGCGTGAGCCACCACGCACGGCCAAATGTTTACTTTTATAATGGCTTTTATATACTTATCTTAGTCCATTTTCACACTGCAATAAATAACTACCTGAGACTGGGTAATTTATAAAGGAAAGAGGTTTGATTGACTCACAGTTCCACATGGCTGGCAAAACCTCGGGAAACTTACAGTCATGGTGAAAGGTGAAGGGGAAGTGAGGCCATCTTATATGGTGGCAGGAGAAAGAGCAAGGTGGGAACTGCCGAACATTTTTAAACCATCAGACCTGGTGAGAACTCACGTGGGGGAAACTGCCTCCATGATCCAATCATCTCCCAGAAAGTCCCTCCCCCGACACAAGGGGTTTACAAGTCGAGATGAGATCTAGGTGGGGACCCAAAGTCAAACCATACCCATGCTTTTTCTTTTTTCTTTTCTTTTTTAATTGATGTATTAATAATTGTACATTTTTATGGCGCACATAGTGTTGTAGATGTAATGTTAAGTGATTAGATCTCAAACATGTATTATTTTTTATGTTGAGAACATTCAATATTCTCCTAACCATTTGACACTATATATTATTACTAATTACAGCCATCCTACAGTGAACTAAAACACTGGAACTTATTTCTCCTATCTAGCTGTAACTTTGTATCTTTTAAAAAAAATCTCTCATCATCCCCCTTCCTCTTACTCTTCCCAGTCTCGGGTATCTTCAATACTACTTTTTACTTCTATAAAATCAACTTTTTGCATTAGTTTTATTAAAGAAGTTCTATAAAATTGTGTAACCATAGGCCCTGTAAAACCTGGACCCATCCATAATATCAGGCATCCCTTTGGAAGAATATTTTCGCTGCGATGTCCTCTAGAAGGGTAAGTAAGGTTATGTTTAATACTTTAATCTCTGGCAACATTTCCTTCCAAAACAATGTGCAAACAGGTTATACAATCACTTTCTGAAGAAGTCACCACCCATGGCACAACCAGCGAAGCAGACGCAGGCAAAGTCCGCCGTGAACCTAGGAGCAGGTGCTATGTCCAGATGGGTGGGCCCCTGCCCTGAGGGCCCAGCGATCCACAGCTAACATCATTTTCTTTACTTCCCTTAAACTAAGGGTCCTGAACGTTACATTAAGGACTTTTTTTAAAAAAAGGGAACCAAGTCCACGTCTCTGAAATATGTTCTTTACATGAAAACAAAGAACCACAGTTACCCACCAGCAGCTATTATTCAGCTATAGGTAAGTAGATAAGTAGGTAGGTATATAAGTAGATAGATAGATAGATAGATAGATGATAGATAAATAGATAGATAGATAGATAGATAGATAGATAGATAAAGTAAGTAGACAGAGAGAGATAGATAATACTAGAGAGAACATGGGCAGATGTTAAGTGTCCTCCTTTTATATGTAATTCGATTTCCCAAACAGATTCCACAGCTCTTCTGATTCATGCTGTGTGTCCAGAATACTCTGTCCAGCATGAGCTGACTCTAGGGACTGCAGACATGCACTTCCATGCTCTGCTCTGGAAACACAAACAACTGCTATTAGCCTTTGATTGCTTCATTAAGTGATGAAAAGCTTGCAAGACTGAGTTGTGGTGGTAGAAGTTCTTTCACTCAAATCACACAACAAGCAATAACTTTTGAAGAAAGAATGTGAAAAGCTTCATGACAGAGGGTGGGTGGGGGAAAATGAGGGGCAATGGGGATGACATTGGCAGAGTAGCAAGGGACAGTGAGAGAGCAGCATGGCCAAGTTGGGGCAAGCTCAGCAAGAAGCTGCCAAAATGCCTGGGGAGGGTGGCCGCCATTAGCCTCCCTCACAGGCCTGGGTCTGGATGCACCCGCATCTGAATTTTCTGTGGTCCCCAGAAGGAGCAGCTCAACCCTGTATCATCATCCAGAGGATTTCCCAAGGCTGAGGCGGGGCAGTGCAGCGGGAACCTGTGTCAACGCTCTATGATCCAGGAGCTTTAATTGTCTAAAGCACCCTCTATGCGGCCCTAGAATCGGTTGATCTTTCTGCACTTGAGTGCATTTGGGGCCTTCTCCTTAGAGAGCCACCAAGGAAAACTCAGAAAAGGTGACAAGAGGCCGGGCGCGGCCTCATGCCTATAATCCCAGCACTTTGGGAGGCTGAGGCAAGCAGGTCACCTGAGGCCAGAAGTTCAAGACCAGCCTGGCCAACGTGTTGAAACTCCGTCTCTACTAAAAATACAAAAACTAGTCAGGCGTGGTGGTGCATGCCTGTAATCTCAGCTACTCGGGAGACTGAGGCACGAGAATCACTTGAATCTGGGAAGCGAAGTTTGCAATGAACTGAGATTGCACCAGGCCACTGAACTACAGCCTGTGTGACACAGAGAGACTCTGTCTCAAAAAAAAAAAACAAAAACAAAAAAAACTAAAAAAGGAAAAGGAAAAGAAAAGGTGACACGGGCCTGCTTATAAATCTGACCCTACCAAGTGTGGAGGAGAAGAGGGAAGTGGGAAGGAGGTGCTGTTTGTCTGAGCAGGGCATAGAGGAGGATGGAGAACATGAGAGAAAAAAGAAATGAAAGGCACTGAATGTACCAGCCTTCTCATAACCCCCACTGAAGCCAACCTTAGGATGAAGATGATGTGTAACCTTCCAGGGTGTTCTCTGTACTAATACTAGAGAGAAAAATTCTGACTTCATTTTAATTTTTTATAAATTCATTCAGCGTTAGTGCAATTCTTCTATGTTAACATCTTACATCCGGTCTCCTAGAGTTGAGAAAAAGAAGAAAAGGCACGAGGCCATAGCCTTCCCTAGGTTGGTTCTGGTCCTGCCTTGATCCCTAGAACACCCCTGGAGAAACCTACAGAGAAAGATAGGAAACTGTCACTAAGCCCATCCTCTCTCAATTTCAGATCAACTTCTGGAACCAATAGTTTGTTGCATGATCATATGAAATTTGACTTAGGGATAAAATAAATGAGTACAGAAAGTAGCTTTTAAACTTTTTGTTTTTTTTAAGTATTCTATGACCTTGGCAATTTTAGCCCGATTCCATTCTGGCAAAAGAAAACTTACTGTGTGAGAAAGAGGTTTTTTCAAGACAAAAACAGCATCCTGATGTTTGGGTTAGTCACCCAATTGCTGATATTTGTATAATTAACTCACTCAATTTGCCACTGAAAAACTACTTTTGTTTGCCTGCTGCCATGATGCTGGGCTAAGTCTCTTGTTGAAATATCATAATCTTCTAGGTGCAATACAGAGAGTGGCTTCTCTGTTTGGTCCTTCAGCATCATAGTGGCCACTGTAGAGGGCTGGCATCTATCCCTCCTCAGGTACGTAGTGTAAGATCATCATGGCATTTCCTTTCCCCTCCACTGACTCATTCAAAAATGGGCAAGCCTCGCCCGTTTGAGCTGGTGGAAATGCAGAGCCTTACTCAGGGCTTCTGGTCAAGAACCAATCCCTCCCTCTCCTGGTGACAGTGAACACAGCTGCTTTTGGCAGCTGGCATTAAGTCAAGGCCTCATCAAGATCTAGTTGCCACACTCAAATTAAAATTCAAGAGTTATTTAATAATAAAAGGCACTCAAGGACATGGGCAGGATACAGTGAAAGCACACAGGACAAAGCAGAACCCTAGGACATGGAGCAGGAGAACCATCATTGCATCTGTGCCCAAAAGCACAATGAGCAGGGTTACCCGAACCCAGGAGAAGGTAGTCTAGAGAGGCCACCGGAGAGGAGCTTTGAACTCAGGCTATGAAAAGTGGTCAGCCTGACCTGACTATGCAGGAAGGAAGCTGGATGAATAAGTGCCCCAGCTTTATTCTCTTCTTTCTGTTCAAGTTCCTGCAGGTGATCCCCATTAGCTGAAACCAAACAGAAGCCAGAGTGTAAGCAATCTTACTCATGTAAACCACACAAGTCACAAAGCAGAGAGAGAAGGCCAGAGAGGGGTCTGAAGGAGTAACTGAAAGTGTGAAGACACCAGCCTCTTAAGACTGCAGGAGGAGCCACCCGAGTGTGACACTGACACTGCAGAAGTCAGAGCAGAGTACCTGGGTACGTAGAGACAAGGAACCCTAAAGTCTGCCCTATCTTGGATTTTTTGCTACCTAAATAAGACAAGTCTTTCATGTCAATTATTCAGGTCAGTTTAACTCAGAAAATCTTTAACCTACAATGGCAATTATCTTATTGCTTTTCAAACAGCAAGTAGTGGTAACTCATTAGTGGGCCGTGAAATTATTCCAATAAGTTAAAACCAGCACTTTTTTAAAAGGGGAAGGAAAAAGAACACAAACAGTATAACAGAATATATGAGAATACATCCTACAATAAAAGAATATAAGTATCTCTTCCTGAAACTTTTGTTTTGGTTTTGTGTATGTGGATATACAAAAGTTACAGTTCTCTTTATAGTAATGAAATATTTTTCTGAATTTTATTTTTTAATCTCTGATATATATTAAAGTTGTGCCACTTCCTATGCAAACAAATGCCCCACTCCTAATTTCTGAAGATACGTTAAGAACGACTTGAGCAATCTTTGCACATCCAGACGTGGAGCTGCAGTGCACCTAGGATGCCTCATGGAAGCCAGAGCTGTACCTCTCATGTGGCCACTGGGGCCAGCCAAATACCTCACATGAGAACCGCACCCAGGGCCGGGTGCAGTGGCTCATGCCTGTAATCCCAGCACTTTGGGAGGCCAAGGCGGGTGGACCACCTGAGGTCAGGAGTTTGAGACCAGCCTGGCCAACATGGTGAAACCCTTTCTCTACTAAAATTATAAAAACTAGCTGGGTGTGGTGGCATGCGCCTATAATCCCAGCTACTCAAGAGGCTGAGGCAGGAGAATCACTTGAACTCAGGAGGCCGTGGTTGCAGTGAGCTGAGATCTCACCATTCCACTCCACTCCAGCCTGGGTGACAGACTGAGACTGGGTCTTGAAAAGAAAAGAAAAGAAAAGAACTGCAAGACCAAGCACGGTGGCTCAAGCCTGTAATCCCAGCACTTTGGGAGGCCGAGGCGGGCGGATCATCTGAACTCAGGAGTTCAAGCCCAGCCTGGTCAACATGGTGAAACACCATCTCTACTAAAAATACAAAAATTAGCTGAGCATGGTGGCGGGAGCCTATAATCCCAGTTACTCAGTAGGCTGAGACAGGAGAATATCTTGAACCCGGCAGGCGCAGGTTGCAGTGAGCCCAGATCATGCCGCTGCACTCCAGCCTGGGGAACAAGAGCGAAGCTCCGTCTCAAAAAAAGAAAAAAAGGACTGCAGCCAGGCCAGCACTAGCAGCTCAGCCACCAGCAGCGGCTTCCCCCTTTGCATTTGGCTCTCCTGCTGCTGTGCCCTGGCAGTCAAGTCTGATGACCCAGATGGCAACCATTGCAGCTGAGAGCATGGGGCACACACTAGATCATGCCATCACTGGGGGCTTCAGTGGAGGAAGTAATGCTGAGCCCGCAAGACCTGACATCACTTACCAGGAGCCCCAGGGAACCCAGATGCCACAGCAGCAGCAGCCTTGCTTCTATGGGATAAAACCACTTTTGGAGTGTGCCCAGAAGCAAGGTGACAAAAGCTCTGTGAAGGTTTCAGTGAGGTGCTGAAACAGTGTAGACTTGCAAACTGATTAGCCCAGTCGAAAAGTTCAAATTGGAGAAATGGAAAATCAGTCCTCATAACCATGTTAATTTAGTATAAAAATAAATTTGATAGAGAAAAGATAAAGAGTAACCATCAGTTAAACCTCTCCAGTGTCATTCATAGCTTTCATCTTTTAGAACTGAAATGGAAGAGCGGGAGAGGGTGTTCTTACTGTATAGAATTTCATTAATGTTGTAGAATTTAGGGCTGCACCAATGTTTGTGTGGCCTCCTTAAACTAGCTGTTATGATTTTATTCTGTTAAACTAGCTGTTATTACTTTGTTTGGGAGTAAATTAGAGCAAAGTGATTGTCTTCCCCCCCACCAAAAAAAAATGACTTGAGTTCTAAGCCTTATGCCAATAGTAATTGATTTCTTTTATCCTGATTCTAAGGTTTTCTCTAATGAGACTGATGAGTGTTTTCATTACAGGTCTCATTCACTGGCCTTCCTGGCTGGGCGTGGTGGCTCATACCTGTGTTCCCAACACTTTCAGAGGCCAAAGTGGGAGAACTGCTTGAGGCCAGGAGTTCGAGACTAGTTTGGGCAACACAGGGAGATCCTGTCTCCACAAAAATAAAAAAAAATTAGCCCTGTGTAGTGGCATGCACCTGTGGTCCCAGCTACTTGGGAGGCTGAGGTGGGAGGATCACTTGGGCCTGGGAGGTGGAGGATGCAGTGAGCTGTGATTGTGCTACTACACTCCAGCCTGGGTGACAGAGTGAGACCCTCTTTCTCAAAAAAAACAAAACAAAACAAAACGAAAACAAAATCTCCTGTCAGCCAAGCTTGCTAGCCTAGGAACCAGGAGTTAATTAATCTGACAGTTCTAAAAAATACAAAGTACCCCCTGATAGCTACTAGGAAAACACTGAACAGAATTTTGCACTCACTTTTGAAAGAGTATATTGCAGGAACTTACTAGTTTCTCTTCATCTTATTGTCAGATCATGACCCTATTGTCTGGTGACATAAAACCTTTTAAATTGAAGGGGATATGGATGGTATGTAAGTGCTAATGCCCTTAGGAATGCTTTCAGATGTAAGTAACAGAAAAGTAATAAATACATTTAAATATCTCAGCTAACTAGCTGTCCAAAGGTGGGCTGTTTCAGTTCCATTTGGGGAGCAGTACCTCAAAATGACACCAAGGGTTCAGCCTCTTTTGTATTTTTACTCTGCCTTCTTTAGCACATTGGCTTATTATCCAGTCATCTTGTCACTTCATGGTTACAGAAAGAGCAATGCAGCTCCAAGCAAGTTATCCTAACTTGGTTACTTTTAAGACAAGTAGAAAGCTTTGGGTTCCAAAGGGCTTTCCATAAATCTCTATATTTCTAACCAGGAAGAAAATCTTTCTGTGCTGCTTCTTGATTAATGTAGGGGAAAAAAAAAAAAAAAAGAAAAGAAAATCTTTCCAAGACACCTCCCATCCCCTGCCAACACATTTTACCTTACATCTTTTCAGCCAGAAATTGGCCTCCTGCCAAATGTTGGACCAAACACTAGCAAAGGGGAACTGAGTGACTGTGACTAAGATCTATGAGATTCATTCCCTGGAGCTCACCACCTGCCTTGAGACTTAGAGGCCCTAACAAAATCAGGATTCTGTGGCTTGCAAGGAGAAAGTGGTTATTGGATGAGCAAGCAATAGCGCCTTTCATAATGCCTTCCCCCTCTCACTCTGCTAGCAAAATTGAACTGCCTCAGCAGAGCAGGCAGAATGACTTTCGTAATGTTGTAATGTCAGCTCGTTGGGAAGGCTCTCAGGAAAATAGGTCACCAGTGCACTTTCTCTGCACTAGGTAATAGGAAAAAATAAAGAGAAAAAACTGAGGTAGCATAGACAAGTGACTTGATACTTTTAAACCTTTGTTTCAGCAGGAGAGGCTTTAACTAAAGACTTGTTATGCCAAATGCCTACTATAGTGAGACTAATGATGTCCAACTCGTAAACATTCAGGTTTATGGGTCAATTAGAACAAATGGCTAAGGACATTTCAGATTTTGCTTGAATTTTCTGCACATGCATGTTCTGCAAAATCTTACCAGCAATTCCAAATGGGCCTATTATGTGACCACGTATGTACCCATGTTTAAACAGATATGAATTAATGACTAAATTAGTTATTCACTTAGCTGACGTTCATCTGAATGTCTTTCCAATAGATCACTGCTTTATTCAGAATTAAATACCGTAAATTCAAAACTGCTCACTTGCATAGCGAAAAGTTTGCTTAGATGCTTTTATCAAAACTAGCTATTTGTCTTATGATGGATTAAAGCTATTTTATTAAACTGAATACCAGCTGCAAACTGTGGCTCACACCTGTAATCCCAACACTTTAGGAGGCCATGGCAGGAGGACTGCTTGAGGCTAGAGTGCCTGAGCCACATAGTAAGACCCTGTCTCCACAAAAATAAATATCTGAATACCAATTTGATCAGTGTTTTGCTAAAATGTTTTAATTATGAGATACATGTTCTAACCTAAATGTAACTTTCCAGCAAGCATTCCTGCATTGTGAAGAACTCAGAGAAGTTAATATATGGAGTAATATTAGCATAACTCATTTGATGTTTGAACTTGCCTTGGACTGAGATGCTCATGCTAACAGATATTGTGTAGTGATAGCAGACAATAGGTATAGATCACTTAATTGAGGGGGCATTGTACCAGGCACTTTCCAGACATGTTCTCATTTCATTCTTGAAAGTCTGGGAAATAGGCATTATTTTCAAAATTGTTATGTATGGGGTTAACTTTTTAGAAAGATTATGTAACTATCCTGTGGTCATTTTTATCATAAATTTAAAAATACTGTATTTTCAATTGCCAAATATTTTGAAGTCATCATTATAAAGCTGTTAGGTTGAACCAGGTATTTTACATTTTCTGAAGTCCATTGAGATCCCAGTTATAATTTATTTAGTTTGTTTAGACTATTTAAGTTCTTTGATTACAAACAAGAGAAACAGATTCAGGATAACGTTAAGTAAAACTGAAACATATTGGAAGGGCTTAGAGTAGCTTACAGAATCAAAGGTGAACAACTGGACCATTGGAAGAATAAGAAATAGAGGAATTTCCAGCATCCAGATGGCACGGATGAGTGAGCCCATTTCTTCAGGAACATAACACAGAGATGATTGGCTCAAATCTCTTCCTGATCACCTGGCTCACAAGTGGAATTTGTGAGGTTGATCTGATTGGCCTCACTTGGGCCACATGACACTGCTTTTCAGGGGAGAACATGAATCTAGATTATTGGCACAAACTAGGAAAGGGGTAATTCCCTAAGGAAAAAGAAAGGCGCTTCTTCCTAAAGAGTGGGTACTGGGGCTGGCAAAAACACTGGATGTCCACAACAGTATGTGATGGAGTTGGGATTCAAACCTCAAACCACTGGCTGGGTGTGGTGGCTCACGTCTGTAATTCCAGCATTTTGGGAGACCAAAGTTGGTAGATCGCTTGAATCTAGTTCAAGACCAGCTTGGACAACATGGTAAAACCCCATCTCTTAAAAAAAATTTTTTTAACCTTCAAATCATTCCAAAATTCTTTTCTCTTAATCATTTTCTTATTTTTAAAATCATTCATAAATAAAATAATCCCAATAGAGCAAAGTGAGATAAATATATAATAATTATCATAAACAGCTTGGCAGTGCTATATGCAAATTCAGTGATACCAGTGCTCACAGAAAGGTCTCGGGGGAATTCAATGGCAGGTCCTGCTGATGGTTTTGTCATCTTCTCTGCTGATCTCCATTATGCCACAACCCACTTGTTGGGAAACCATTAATTAGCAGCCAGACTTGCACAATCAACCAAATCTGGGATCAATGGGCTGTCTCAGTCTCAACCCAATTGCAGAAGTGTGTACTTCCTATTTTTAGTAGGCTGACTCCAGAAAATTAGCATTATTGCTACTATTAATATCTTCCAGAAGTTTCCTTCGTGGTTTACTGTTTCAATATTAGCTCTTGGAAACAAAATAACACCTCATATTTTAAAATTTCCAAGCTTCTTTTTGAAATCAAGACTTATTTTTGCATGGAATTCTCATAGTTTCTATGAATGTTTGAAGAGAAAAGTTAGGCTATTAAATTTTGCTTTTTAAGCTAAAGGCACATTTTAATTAGTAAAGTAGCCACCTGAAAAGCCCTTTAATATTTCTAAATTATCATCATTCAATATCTTTATCCTTTGAAGCTGTAAGGTATATTATTTTGAAATGCTGGAAGGCTTCATTTAGAACCATGAAATCAGACTTCTTACTTTCTCTTAAAATATCGTGTGTTCTTTGGTCCAACTTGGTCCTGGTGAATAAAATCAAACAACTAAATTCTAGCAAGAAAAGAAAAGAAAGGAAGGAAAAAAATAATATAAAAATTATTCTTCTCTACCATATATTGAGGCTATTAAGACACAGGGTGGGGTATATGTCTACACATGCAGTCCTGATTGGTGGCAAAGATAATTACTACTAGAAATAAATGGAAAAAATGAAGAGACAAAGAGGTAAAAAGAGCCATGACATTGCTCCAGTGAAGCAGACTCAGGCAGTTGCTGGTTCTGTAAGGGCCTCTGAAGTCTCAGTTAGACTTAATAAACTGAAGGGCTGGGGATATTGCTGTAGGTCTTGATTACAGGGGTTTCAAGCCCAGTTCTACTGTTTAATAGCTATGTGACCAAAATCAAATAATACCATGTTACCTCTGTGGGCCTTAGTTTTTTCAGATGTAAATAGGGATAATAAAGCTACCTACTACATAGGAGTATGTGTATGTGAGAGAGAGAGAGAGAGAGAGAGAGAAAAAAAAAAAAACAAATACTTCTAGAGTACTTAGAATGATACTTGACTTGATATTATTATATCTGTGGGTAGGATATTGTGGAACCATGAAAATTTGTCTCATAGAAACAATTATCTACTGGCATGTGGAAAGATTTACTATAA